CTGCTGCTGCACTGACCATACAAGGTGCTGCTTTGGGTACTGCAGCTCTTACAAAACAGCAGGCTAACACACCAAAGTGACTGAATTTCAAATGTGTAATGCAGCTTCCAATGTGCAAAACCAGTGAGTTGGCCAAAAACAGAAAGATGCACATCTTTTAAAGTAGACAGTTATAGCCCAGGCCTGCTGCCTGTATTACCACACTGGTGCTGCAGTTTCACTCCAGAGCCGGCATCAATTAGGAGCAAATGACTTACCAACATAATACTGTAGTTTTCTGCAGCATTGTCCCCACTGACAGCTTTATAAAGACATCCTTTGATAATTATGCCGCACACACTTCTTCTTGGCAACTGCTTGTGAAGCTGTCCAGTGTATATTAATTGGATAATAATTTTCTATTGTGCGTCTGTGCGAACCTGACGAGAGAGCCGCTCCTCCATCGCCCGCAATAATCCAATTTAGGCATTAGCATCGGCGAGGCAGCGACAGACGCTTTAGCCACAGCCGCAATAATCCAATTTAGGCATTAGCATTACCGAGGCAGCGAGAGACGCTTTAGACTTTAGAAAGTTAGATACTGTCAAGGTTATTTGGAGAGGCACCTCTGAGTTGGCAGTGTGGAGGAAATAAGGGCTTTATTATAGCGACTACATCGTAACACGGCCTGCATTTGACTGCGCACAGTCGTGTAATCTGTCTTTTGCACTCTGTCAGGTTTATGTCCTGATTGGTCGGAGTGGGACCCAAACCAGCCTGTGCAGAATGCCAAAGAAGCCATGCAGCAGGCCGATGATTGGCTGGGTGTGCCCCAGGTAAGACGCATGACAGAAATGAGCTTCAAAGACGTTGCCGCTGGGGGGGTTGGACTGGGTGTACATGCAACGCCTAGATGATGAGTAAGAGCCAATTATTTACGAGCATTTTGAGCAAGTAGTCACCCGGGCTGGATTGCAAATTCAAACATGTTTCACCGAGTGTACAGAACTATACGTGATGCTGCGGTGCCCTAAATAAGGCAGCACTGCGTGTGCTATAGTGCTCAGTGTTTTTTTTTTTCTCCAGGAGATCATGCTGAAAGGAATCATGAAATATTTATGACCCAGCTCATATCCAATATTCCATTTACTTCATTGTAGCTCTCTCTCTCTCTCTCTGTGTGTGTAGGAGTTTTCTTTAGTAGATTTGTGAATTTGTGGAGGCGTGATATTTCTTAACACCTTCACTGCCAGCCACCAACACACAGGTATAAATATGCTGCTGCTGATCAAAATAACAACACCAACAAAGCAAGTTGCTATATTTTCCAGACCCATTTGTAAAATTGCGCATCTACATATCTGTGATATGCACTATCCTGATTGTTTACTTGTTTGTCTAAGATGCAGAGCTATCTTTTCTCCATCTGGCTTAGCATTGCTGGAGGATGTATGTCATGGCTGTGCAGGCCTGGGGGCTGGATTCCACTGTGGTGGTGTTTAGGAGACGTGGGAGAGGTCTGGCTCAGGATAAATCCCCCTGGTTGGATTACTGAAGGCAACAATCCTTAACCCTCCTGTCCTGGGGTTAAATATAGCTGACACGAAGCGCTGCATTGTGCCTCTGTGATAGACAGGCAAACAAATGCTACCAGAGAGTAAGGGGACAGAGTGGGGGTACAATTTGAGCTCCAGAAACACAGTGACTGGTGTGTTTTCGGGTCAAACGTCTAGACTAAAAATTAGTTTCATTCAAGGTTTTGGTTTAATTGCAACAAGCCATGTTTTCGGGTTCGGCCACATTTGTCTTTGTGTCTACATATAGGTCATAGCACCTGAGGAGATTGTGGACCCAGATGTGGACGAGCACTCGGTCATGACGTACCTCTCTCAATTCCCCAAAGCCAAACTGAAGCCTGGTGCTCCACTCAAATCCAAACAGCTTTTCCCAAACAAAGTTAAAGCCTATGGACCTGGTAGGAAGCCTAAACCTGCACTATCCATTGTCTAGTCATGTCACTCATTATCTTTGATGCATAATGTCCAACTGTTCTGCTCAAGTACTTTGAGGCAGAAAATGCCACAAAACAAAAAAACACAAATCACAGCAGTCCATACTACCACAGTATTCGAATTATCTTAGAAAGGAGTGGATAATGGAAATATTAGTGTTATGTTGTGCTAAAAAAAGTGCTAAAAAAGTACCTCTAAATTCTCATGACAGGTATTGAGCCCCATGGTAACAAGGTGCTCCAACCAGCTGTGTTTACTGTGGACACTCTGGAAGCTGGAAGCGGTGAAGTCCTGGTCTATGTGGAGGATCCTGAAGGACACAAGGAAGAGGTACAGTAGGACAGTCCTGCATACTCCATACAGTTCATGCAGATCTTTAAAATAAATCCACCATATCCTTTTCCCCTTAGGCTAAAGTTAAACCCAACAGAGACAAACAAGGCACTTACACTGTCACTTATCTTCCCAAAGTTGAGGGTGTTCACAAGGTAAGAAACGCTGCGGCTTCTTGTGTCCCTGCATCTGATGGATTGA